CAAAGGGTAGATTGACTATTTATTTAGAGGGTCTTGTTTTAGCTATTTATTTATTCCTAATTATGGGCCTTTCTGATTTTTTAGCAGTAATTGTTGATATTGGACTTGAATGGATGTTTTTGAAAAAAAAATTTATATAGTTAATTGTCTAGTTTAATATGATTTTCTTAACACATAAATAATCTCCTCCTAATTGAAAAAAAAAGTATGCCCAAATATTATCTATTAATTTTTTAAACAGTAGTTACTTATTATTAGTTTACAATACAAAATGTTTATGATAAGAAAGCATCAGTCATACTAAATTTATTATTCTCTACGTTAATGAACCCCAGAACTGAAATTGTTCCTTTTTCCTTCATAAGCAGGGTTATTTACACTGAAATTTTCTAAACTATTGAAAAATATCACTTTGACCTCTTAAATTTTAAAAGCATAAAAATAGACTCCCTAAATTATTAAGAAATATCATTTTGCCCGGCTAAATTATAAAACGTACAAATAGACCTTCTAAACTATTGGTGTGTTTCACTTTGATCGCTTGTATTAACGGTCCAATTTGTATATTTTTATAATTTAAAAACATTTGCACGCTTTTATAGTTTAGAGGGTAAAGTGATAATTCTCAATAATTTAAGAGGTCTATTTCTATGCTTTTATAGTTTAGAGAATTAAAATGATAGTTCTCAATAGTTTAAAGGGTTTTAGTGTAAATAGCACTCAGAAGCATTTGAACCTGAAAATTTTCCATTGGAATAAACTCTTTATAATTAAGATAAAGTCATTGCAAGATTATATCTTATCACCAACAAATCATACCCAAAAAAAAAAAAAAAAAAACTGTAAATTTGTTATTGTTCTATTATAATGAACTAAGTAGGGGAATTAAATTGGTGGAAATTGAGGTCATTCCATCAAATGTTATATAAGTATATAATCAAAAATTCATAATTTATTTTGTTACAAAATGGTCAAACTATGGTTTATATATATATATATATATAATTTTTCCAAATATTTTTTATTTGGATTAATTACACTTTTCACCTTTATAGTTTGATTCAAATTTCATTTTGGTCCCTATAGCTTCAAATTAAATAGTTTCGTCCCTACACTTTAAATTTAGTTTTAATTTGGTTCTCTCCTGTTTAAGTTGGAGGTTAAACTTAATGATTTTGGGACATTTGTTAGTCTTCTAAGGTATATATGTATATATGTAAGATTTTTTTTTTTTTACTATATGAAAAAAAGGTATATATGTAAGAAAAATTAACAAAATTTTAGACGGAAAGACCAAATTGAAACTGAATTTAAAGTGTATGGAAAAAATTGTTCAATTTGAAATTATAAGGACCAAAGTAAAATTTGAGTCAAAATATAGAGATTAAAAATGTAATTAACCCTTTTAATTTTATTATTATTATTATTTTGCACATAAAAAAATAAAAAATAAAAAGCATATAAGACGTTTAGTTGAAATAACTTCATCAAATCATAATTTTGACATTTAGGAGTGATAGTGTTTCATTTTGATGTTTTTAGCTCTTACATTTTATAATACTTTCCACTTTTCAAGTCTCTCAATTTTGCTTTCTAGGTTCACTTTGATCCCTGAATTGCTATTATAAAATTTTTAAAATTCCAAGTTTATATAAAATATATATATATATATATAAAGTTATATTATATTTCAACTTCACAACAAAATTCGTTTGAAATTAAGACAAATTGCAATAAGAATGATGAGAGTGAAATTTAAGCAAAAAATTGACGGTAATAAATATACTCAATTTGAATTTTATTTATGCAAATTTCAAGATTTATAAAATCATGGGATATTTATTGTTGACCCCAAGTCAAGGTCCTCTCAAATCATACAAATTAATTCCAAGTCTTCATTTCAAATTCCAAGTCTTCATTTCAAATTAATTCCAAGTCTTAATTCCAAGTCTTCATTTCAAATTTTGAGATATGAAGTTGAAATTATACAAATTAATTCCAAGTCTTCATTTCAAATTTTGAGATATGAAGTTGAAATTCCAAGTCTTAATTCCAAGTCTTCATTTCAAATTCCAGGTCTTCATTTCAAATTAATTCCAAGTCTTCATTACTAAATGCATGATGTTATGAAAGTGAGTATGCAATATAATTACATTTTTGAGATGCACTATTACAACAACATTTCATCACGGCATTTGGTCCAATAATTGTATAGTAGTTTTTGTGGTGTGAGATTTTGGATTCAACTTTTATAAAGAAAAGTTTGATATCATTTGTTTTGGTTGATTGTATGTGATTATTAGTGGTTGTTGGGCTTGGTCAATTTGTTGATCACTTTCTAGCTATTATAGGTTAGTAGTTTGTTGAATGATATAAATAATGGATTGCAATTATTTAAATTTAACCCTATTTTACAATGTTGAATAAAGCTTTTACTTTAATTTTTTAATTTATATATGATATTACAGTGAAACTAATGAATTTAAAATTATAATAATAAAAATTAAATACAACATATAATTGATCCAAACATAGATAGAAAGATTCAAACTACTGAACGTCTAATGAAGTATTATGGCCAAACGAATTAGCCATATTATGATATTATGGGTTTTTTTCTTTTCTTTTCTTTTCTTGCAGTTGTAAATTGTAGCTATCAGTAATGCTAATATGAAGGAAATTTTGATACCCAAATCCACACGGTATTACATATGAATAATAATTTTGTAGACTAGTGTATGATAAGGAGGTCAAAGTCAGACGCGGTTTGAGAGTAGAAATGAGCTTTCCTCTATACTTTTATTTTTTTTTAATACCTTTTTATATATTTTTTTTGTAGGTCTCAATTCAAATTCGTATCAATAATCTGAACGGTCTATCTTGTAGGTCACACAATAAAAGTCATATATGCAAAAAATTAACTTCATCAAACAACTATAAATATAGAAATAAATCACATTTTGTTATTTATTTATGTTATAATTGTTTGATAAAATTAATACTTTACATTAACAATATTTACTGTGAGACGTACAAAATAGATGGTTTGAATTATCGATGCATGTATAGATTAAGACCTCCAAGAGGAATATGAAAATGTATGAAAAATATAAAAACACGGTTAATACTGAGAATGTTCATGTAATCAATTACGTCCAACAACTTCAATTATATGGAAGGTAGTTTGCTATGACTTTCTAGAAAAAATATATATATATATATTTGGCATTGTCTCAAAGCCATCCAAATTATTCATTTGTATAAATTCCACATGAGCTCCACACAAATGGATGATTTGAATGACTTTATGGCATGGTCATGTCAATACTATGGGTGATTTCTTGTGTCGCCTTCAATGATGTGAACACTTATGATTCAACATTAACTACTCATTATAAAAGAAATTTTTTAAAAAGTTAATATATTTCCCTATAACTTTAACGGTAACATTTGAAAGGAAAAAAAAGAAAGAAAGTAAGTACAGAGTGAGTTATAAATTTTTGTGTAAAATAAATATATGGTCCATTATTAAATTAATCTGACAGTACCCTAAGAATGGAATCATCTCAATTGATAAATACGTGGACCTTTCCTTTAATTCTAAAATTACACTAAGATTTGTGTATTTGTTAAAAACCTCAAGGGAGGGGCGGTCCGTCTAATTAGTCCATGTTAGTGTTTTTCTATAGAATCAACATTACTTCTTGATGGTCCGTCTAATTAGTCCATGTTGGTGTTTTTCTATAGAGCTAGCTATACTCTGCAAGCAAATAAAAGCCCAAGTGAGTGGAAATTATCATTATATTTTGAAACAAAGCAACATTACGGTTGACACCACCTTGGTAAGAGATGGGATTAGATTTAATACTATACAAATTAAAAAAATTGTAAAATTTTTTTACTTACTAATATGGCACAAATCACATTATTAAAGTGCATTCTGTTTCAAATTCTAAAATTTCTTTATTGTACGGTAATGTCATTTAGTTAGAAAAGTTGATAATGTTACTTTGTATAGGATTTTCCTTTGTCTAATTATTTATGAATATGAAATTAGCCAGCCGTGATATAATTTTTTTTATTATTATAATTAGGGGTAATTTTAAAGGAATTCGGGATTCGACCCTAAAAATAAAATAAAAATAAAGTTTTTAATTTTGTCAATGTAGACTCATTTTATGTACACTTACATTGAATTTAATCACTAAAATACTCTTTTTTATGTTGGTTTTATCTAACAAAAATATGCAAATATTTAGATTGAAAATAAATCAAGGGGCAAATTACATATACCCCTCGAGGTTTAGCAAAATTATAGATACCCCCTGAAGGTACTATTTGCATAACAAATTAGGGGACAAATTTTTATAAAAATATAAACCTCATGGGACAATTTGTTATGAAAATATAAACTTCATGGGGTATCTGTAATTTCTAAAATCTCAGGAAGGTGTCTGTAATTTAGTTAAATCTCGAGGGAGGTATATGTAATTTGCCCTAAATCAAAAGATTAGGATTTAGATTGATAAAATTAAAAACTCGAGACTTAATTTGTTACAAAGGTTAAGGGTTAAACATTGAGGCTGGTTTGTTTGTTTGCTTGCTTGCTTTTTTCTTTTCTCTTTTTCTTTTTTCTTTGTAATTTCCCCTTATAATTATTTATTTATTTGTTTATATATTAGTAGTGGTAATATGTAGGAATTTTAAATCCCAAAACCCACATGATAAGGGGGATAATTAGACTACAACGTATTGAAAAAAATTTCAAGCAATACATGATAATTCACTTTTATTAAATGATTAAGAGATAAATGATAATTTACTTACTCTATATTGCGATTTCACGTTTACAGTTAATCAAGGCCGGCCAACCGCTTAATTCATATTGAGGAGAGAGTTTGCTTTAATTTTTTCACAAATATTAGTCAAATCAATAAGTGGGAGGGCCCAGAGTATGATGGTGCTTTTAGTGCCTTTATAAAGACTCAGACCACTTGGGTGCTAAATGTGCAATTCTGAGTTTGTGCCGAACATGCAAAGAAGAAATAGGTGTATCATGATGTTTATAGAGATGAGGTTGGTGTCGTTGTGGGTAATGTTGTTGGTTTTGGCTAGTAAGTGCTATGGGTGTTTGGAGCATGAGAGGGTTGCTCTTCTGCAACTAAAAGCTTATTCCATCAAACACAGCAATGTCCTCCCAACGTGGGTGGAGGCTTGGGAGGGTGAAACGACGACTGACTGCTGTAAGTGGGAACGAGTCAAGTGCAACGCTACAACAGGGCGAGTGATCCAACTCTCACTCAATTCTGCAGAGAATTATTGGAACTTAAGAGATTGGTATCTGAATGCCTCCATGTTTCTTCCATTTGAAGAACTTGAAAGTCTCGACTTATCAAACAATGGATTAGCGGGTTGGCTTGAGAATGAAGGTTTTTTTTTTATTACTAGAATAGCAACCAAACAAGTCTACTCTATTGTTTTCTTTTTGACAATGTTTCCAGAAATCACGTTGTGGCCTATGCTATGATATACATTATTGACTGTTTTACAGGTTTTGAGAAGTTGGGTGAATTAACATCTCTAAAGTCTCTAAATCTAACTTCTAATTATTTGAAGGGAACTATTCATATTAATGGTGAGTTTAAATTAAAGTCTATTTCTTTTCATTCTTAACTGAGAGTTTGAGACTAGTGTAAGAATTCAAAAATAAGCAGGTTTCCTTGGTTTCCAACTAATTAATACTTTTATTTTCTTGACTCGAGACCAGATCTTAAAGGTTTCAATAACTTGGAGCAGCTTGATATTAGCGATAATCAGTTTGATGGTTTCATTACTCACTCAGGTATGATAACAATACCACTTCAATATGAAGAAAATAATGAACCAAAAAAAATATAGATGCTCTAGTTTCAAAAATACATTTTTTTTAACTCTATTTTTTAGGACAAATGAGATAAATTAAATAAATTATGATTATATACATGAAGTGACATGCAAAATAAATAGTTTGAATAATCGAAATATGACTTGTGATGGATCCGGACAACACCCTTCTATGCCCAACCCAAAATTAAAAACAACCTCCTTGGATGGCAGCCGAATTAATGATTCTAGTGAATTAGTTTTTTTTTTTGGAAAATAAAGTTATTTATTTATTTATTTATTTTATGATGGTAAAGTTTGTTTTTTAAACACTCGATCTTTGTACATGATTTATGATTTATGTGTCCATCACCTGATTTATTCCATCTGCCACTTGTCATACTATGCAATATTTGTTGAACAACTGAAATGGACTCATTTGCGCAAAAATGTTAGGGTCCCAAAAAATTTACTAAAAATTTTACATAATATTTTTGCAATTATGAACCGCAATGATAAATGTTTTGGATTGTAATAAAAAGATCACAACAAGCCAGACTGTTTTATATGAAATTTCGATAGAAAAATTATATTTGTAGATCACTATGCTTTAAAATTGAGTTTTAAACAAACTGCCTATTTTTGTTTTTATATTTTTTAATGAAATGGAATACATGCCAATTTTACGTGTTGTTTTAGTTGTGAGGTTGGTGGTGACTTGAAATGGAAATTGATTTTTGCAGATTTTGAAAGACTATTTGTGTTAGGCAAGTTGGAGCTACTTAGATTGGGTTGGAATTCATTCGATAATAGCATCCTACCATCTCTTGGTGTGCTCTCATCACTCAAAACTCTATCCCTACATTGGAACCGTTTGAATGGATCAATTGATATAGGAGGTAAGTCCAGTATAAAATGTTTCACCTATTCACAACTAAAACAACCTTTCCAGCCTCAATATGGACAATCCTCGCAGCATCAATGTAAGTTTTATGGGCTATTTTTATTGGACAAATTATAACATAGGATTAGGATTATCAATCCATAGAATTCACAACGTTTGATTGTAATTTTTATTATTCAAATTAGATTTCAATGGACATTTTATTTAACAAAAATGGTGAATTTTTTAATCTTATAACTAATAATACAAAATAAACATATAATTGGTATTATATATTTCAATATTTATTGCAAAGCAAACGTGAAAAAGAGGGGATTATTTATCCAACTAATTTAATTGGATAATCAATCTTTCACTGATTCCATGAATTATTAATCCTCTTACTATTGTTTATTTTAATCAAACAAAGCCTATGTCTTGCCTTAAAATACCACATGATTCAATGTCATATAATATTTTAAAATTATTAAATAGTTATTAATTATTCAATTTTATGATAGTCAGACTCGACAAAGAAAAATCATAGAACCAAAAGAGTAAGTGCCCAAGGTTGAGATGGTTACTATTTTAGTTTCTAATGTGTGGAGTTTGTGTGATTTTGGTTCTCTGTTAAAATTGTATCTGTTTAGTTTTCAATGTATTAAAATTATTTTGATTCCGTCCTCCAACCAAATTCAATTTATAGATACCATTAAATTTAAGGGTAAATATAGAAATTTAATTAAAATTTTACTATTTTAATTCCTAAAATAAGATATTTGTGTTATTTTAGTTCTTAATATACAAATCATGACAATTTAGTATTTAAAGTGTTCAAATGTTTCCATTTGATCCTCTAACCGACATTGCAAAACTATCCATGCTTCCTCTATCATTTTCTCTCTAAACCTCCATCCTGGGTCTCACCGTTGGCCGGCTGGCTGCTGCCAATGGCCGTGGCGGTCGGCTGGCCTCGCTTCCTTTGTGTGTGATCGTTGTTTCTCTCATTTTTAACTTGAATCCCCAAAGTTTTCCCACGATATTAGTTTTTCCGACATCTATAGATTTTGCCTAGGTGTGTTTTGATCTATGGTGTTTGGCCATGGATCTTCTTTCGGGTCTTCTATCGGTGGGTGTATGGTGATTTAGTTTTGGGCGCTTCTCTGCGATGTGTGCTTGGTTGTTCGGTATTGGAAGTTTTTTGGCCATGGGTGTGTTCGAATGTAGGAGTTTGTTCGGCAAAGAGGTCAGTGGTCTCAGATCGGGTGTTGTTCGGCAAAGAGGAGGTCAGTGATCTCAGTTCTATGGGGGCTCTCGGCTATGGGTGGTTGAAGATTAGGAGGATGTATGAGGCATGGGTGTTTGGGGTTGGCCATGGGTGGTGATTTTCGGCCATGGATGGAGGCCATGGGAGGTGTTAAATCTTGGGAGGTTTTAGGCCATGGAAGTGGTGTTTCGGTGCCGGCTGGTTCGGTTCAGGGAGGTGTTTGACAGGTGGGAGAGGTGGTTTTTTGGCTATGGGTGGTGCCTCTTTCTATATTTTTAATTTCATATTTTTTAACGAAATGTTTATTTTGCTGATTGTGGGGAATACTCTTCGAATTTTGACGAATCTAAGAGATCCTCGCAATGTTATGGGGAATGAATAATGTTTTAGAGCACTAAATTGGGAGGTTTAGAGCATCACTAATGATGTGGTACGGTGACCCTACCAAAGTGATGTGATGTTTTAACTTGAGTTTGTTTGTTTTTTTTTTTTTTTAAGCTCATTAGAACTATTAGTGGTCTAAAAATTAATGGAATGAATCACCACTCTAGAGGGAATACTCCTTGAATTCTGACAAACCCAAAAGATCCTCACAATGTTACCTAAAACAGATAAACAATTCCGATCAATGGTGTCGGAGTTAACACGGTTTAGTCAATTTTTACGTGTGGATAATTGGTATTTTATATTTCTTAGAGTCTGCCTTTCTCTTTTATAGTCTCTTTTTTTTTTCTTTTTCTTTTTTTTTTTCCTCTTGGTCCCGCCATCTCATCATGCTTTTATGGGATGAGCCACAGTTTGGTCCACTAGGACCCTTCCGATTACTCCGGATTAGTTGGTTTCGGCGCATGGCCTGGATATTTAACTCGGCTTCCCATGTGGGCCTCAATGCCTACTCGGCAACGATCCCTAGCTCACTGGGCTTTGAACTTATACGACCCAATTGAAAGGATCAGTTTGAAGTTGATTTTTTATATTTGGCTCCCACACTGATTAAAAAATTTGTTCCTCTAACCTATTTTGTCTTTCTTTATTTGAACTAAGGGCAAAACATAAAAATCATAAACACACGTCAACAAAAAGCGAATGCTTATATATGAAAATATATTGGATGATGTATTACAAGAAAAAAAAAATAAAAAAATTACCAAAATAAGTATCAACAGAAAATTTGGCGAGTATCTCATTTATTGTAGAATATAAGCTTTGGGAGACAATTTTTTTTTTTCCGCGTCACAAAATTTACATTTTATTATAATAATGTGAATATTCTTCTCCAGAGATATTGGTTTTCTGTTTTTTTTTTTATTATTTTTTTATTTTTTATTTTTTCTTCAATTTTTGATGATGTGTATAGTTTTCAAACTTTACCCTTAGTTTAGCCAGAAAGGTAGACAAAATTAAGTTGGGAGACCAAATCAAAACACTTTTTTTTTTTTTATATGTTGCAAGCTAAATTGACACAATCCTATACAACTCATAAAACAATTAGGACCCGATGTACACTCAATTCTTCTTCTTCTTCTTCTTATTTTTCTTATTTTTATTTTTTTATGAGCGACTTAGAAGAGCTGAATTTTGGTGGCAATTCAATAGAAAATAAAAAAAGGTGCATAATGGAGAATTTTTTTAGAGGTTGTACTCTCATTTTGGAAGTTAAAAAGGATTTATCGGTAAGATTTTTCATTTACAATATTGTTTCACACAAGAAGTTTGTACAAAAATAATGTTTGTAATCATTATCCCAAATGAAGATTTCTAAGTTTCTTAGTAAACGGATAAACTATTTTTTGATTTTTTTTTTTAATAAATAGAATAGATAACATGTTAATATTAAGTTTTGAACGGGTTACAAGCTGGAGATACTTGATTTGAGAGGCAATTCATTCAATAATTACATCCTATCATCTCTTGTTGTTTTCTCATTACTCAAGACTTTATGCCTATGGGAAAACAATTTGAATGGATCAATTGATACTGATATAAGAGGTAAGTCCAATAATAAAATACTTCATATGTTCACAACTAGACAATTTGTCTATCACCAATGTTAGTTCCATGTGTTCTGCAAGCTGGTCGGAGTAGTGGATAATACCTCTAAACATCACAGAATAATGTCACATAATATTATAAAATTATTAAATAATTATCAATTATCCAATTTCATGACAGTTGGACTTGACAAAAACCATAGCACGAAAAGAGTAAGTCCCTCCGATTGAGATGGAATCTAATACATAAGATAGCCTGCCAAATTTATAAACAAGGGTTAGTTACCTTTTTATTCTCTAAAGTTTCGTTTGTTTGCATGGAAAATATTTTTTTTCCAAAATTTTTGGTGTTTGGTTACGTATAATTGGGTAAAATATTTTTGGATAAATTATATCACTGGTATTTTAGTTTGAGTGAAGTATTACTTTAATTATCATAATTTTAATTTGAATAATTTGAATTCTACATTTTCGATTTTGTTTTTCTAAAATTTACCCACTTGGCTTCTGTAAAGACTGTGATTGAGAGAAGAGTGTAATGATTATGGATTGAATGTGATGTTTTATTTTTGTGGTTAAAATAGTAAAAAAAAAGCCCCAAATCCATTTTCCCAAACGGAATATGATTCAAATGCAAAAACAATATGAAGAAAAACACTTATGCAGATCGGTTTTTGAGATTTGTACCAATTTAATTTTTAATATATAAAAAAATATTTGATTTGATCCCCAACCTAATTATATTTGTAGATGTTATAAATAATAAAAAAAGGTAAATAGATGTTATAAATAATAAAAAAAGGTAAATATAAAAATTCAATTAAAAAGGTACTCCTCTTCTTGTCACCAAAGTATGAGATTTGTATCATTTCAATTTTTAATATTTAGATTATATCAATTTAGTTCTCAAAGTATAAAAAGTGTTAAAATTTGGTCTTCGAGCCTATGTGTCTCTCTTCATCTGAATCAAAGTAAAAACATGGAAATAAAAAAATAAAAACACAAAAAGCCACAAAAAAATATATATATGTATATAAAAAAATCATGTTTTGTGAAGTATTCCTGGTCATCCAAAATGTATATACATGTTACTTTTATTATATTTATGTATATACATAAATATTAGGTGATGTATTACACGAAAAAACATTTTTGCAATGAAAAAATTGTGACAAAAAAATTGTTGACAAAAAATATTGGCGATGGGATTTCATTCATTGCAGAAAATAAACTTTGGGAAACAATTTATTTTTTCCATATTGCAAAAATTATATATTTCTTTTGTAATAACGCAAAATATTTTCCTCTAAAAATAGTTCCCTACATTAATTAGGTGGTTATAAAAAGAAATTAAATGTGTATTTAAAAGGTTCAGCAATCATTTGGCATGTGAGTTTGAGAGTTTTTGGTGCTATTTTAGTCAAAAAAAAAAAAAAAAAAAAAAAAAAAAAAAAAAAAAAAAAAAAAAAAAAAAAAGACAAAACAGATTAAAAAATCAATAAGATAAAATGTTACATCTAAATCATAATCATTTCATTTTTTCTCTCACAAAAGTCAAAAAGTCAAAAAAAATTCATCCCACAGGAAACTTTTTAACCCCAGGCTAAAATAACTAAAAAGTCAAAAAATTAAAAAATCAACCCACATCCCAAACGAAGTCTAGTTTTATGAAATTTTTTCCTAATAAATGAAACCCATTGGCCATTACAGTGATTTGTTAATTATTTTGGCATTTTCTTTCTTTTACTGACAATTCAATGGACTGTTATTCATATGACTCATAAAGAAAATATGATCAGATTTACACTCAATTCTTTTTCTTTTTCCTTCTTCATTGTAGAATTCTGCAATATGAACTTAAAGGAGCTGGATTTGACTGAAAATTTTATAGAAGATATAAAAGGTATACAATCGTGATTAAAAAACAAGAAGTATTTAGAGGTTGTACTCTCATTTTCCTGGCTGAAAAAGATTTACAGGCAATGTTGTTCACTTGTAATATTATTTTACACAATAGGTTATGTACAAAAATAATGTTTGTATATCATTATTATCCCAAACCCAAATGAAGCACTCCAAGTTTCTTAGTAAACAAACTACCTACTCTCTCTCTCTCTCTCTCTCTCTCTATATATATATATATAAACAATTTCATAACAATTTTGTGTTTCCTTTTAGTTTGTACGGATGGTGGTGACTTGAAAAGGAAATTGATTTTTGCAGGTTTTGAACGACTATCTGTGTTAGACAAGCTGGAGCTACTTAGATTGGATTGGAATTCATTCAATAATAGCATCCTATCATCTCTTGGTGTGCTCTCATCACTCAAGACTTTATCCTTATCTGGAAACCGTTTGAATGGATCAATTGATATAGGAGGTAAGTCCAATATAAAACTCTTCACATATTCATAGCCGAAGGCAATCTTTCAAGCTTCAAAATTGAATCGGTAACCACACGAACAAGTGCACAATATCTATGTGTTCTACATCTATTGGGACTGGTAGACAATTCCTTAGAAGATTCCCTATGTTGTTTATATATGTTCTTTATTGTTGTTTGTTAGGATCAATGTTAGGAAAATTTCTTAAATATATTGCTTGTGGTATTTTCAACAAATAAAAACTCACAATACACGCAAAACAAATCATTCTTTATCTTTCAATTACCTAAAAAAAAGTTAGTCAACATGTTCCACTTGTAAAAAATTTTGCAACGTAATTGGTTTTAAGCAATGCTACATGCCTTACACCAAATTTGTGGGGGAATTAAAGAGTAAATTAGTAATAAATCTAAGTTAAGAAATGTATAAGGCATTAGATTTAGTAGATATTTTTTTTTGTTGGAGACAGATCCACCTTTTGTTAAATAGTTTGGTGAAAAGTCCTTTCGTTTGTTTTAAATGACATTTTATTTTTAATTTTTCCCTTTAATTTATTTGTTGACTTTTTTTATCGATTGACTTTCGTTGATTATCAGTTCAAATTTTTTTCTCATCTGATCAAATTTTTTTCCAATCTGTTCAATTTTTTTCTTATCTGTTCAAAAAAATTTAGATCTGTTCAATTTTTACCCTATCTGTTTAATTTGTTAATCTTTTCAATTCAAATTTTCCTTATCTGTTTAAATATTTATCCAAATAAAATTATATCTGTCCAAATTTATTATATGTTCAAGTTATATCTGTTTACTTTTTTTTTATCTTTATTTGTTCATCAACAACAACAACAATCATCAACATTAACATCAACATCAACATCAAGAATAACAATCATCCAAAAAAAATTCAATATGTTTAACCCAAAAAAAAATGATCTCTTAAATTCAACAGATCTGGATCAGAGACCCATGGAAGAGGGGGATGAGCAAGAGATGAACAAATCTGTCTGTGATGCCTCTTTATAGCCACTGTCCCTCCTCCAGCCATAACTTTTTCCAAACAAACACAATCTGTAAACACCAAAGGAGAGAGAGAGAGAGATATGGCAAAAAATCTAAAAATTTCCCTAACTTCTTGTGAAAAGTACTACCGTAGTATTTCTTACTTCATTCCATTTCAAGCAAAAATTCCAATAAATCAACTGACTTATGCTTCTAGTTGTAATCGTGCCAAAAAAATCCACTGACAGACAAATTCCAACAATTGTCATCAACAAAAACCTTTATACGACACCAAGCTTCCAAATTTTTATTCCATTCAGCTTGTAATCATATTTTCGCCTAATATTAAGTGTAATCAAAAGCTTATTCAAACTTTAAACATAAAAAACGATTTCATTAGCTATCAATTGGCAACTGAATGAGTACTTCAAATACGTATCAAACACAATTCCCAACGTTTAACGCGTAAATCTTCAAATTAAAGAGAGAAAAGTATATGTACCTCGAATGATATTGATGTTCACTTCACGAACAGGAATCACGATAATAGTACGAGAGGGATTTGCCTCGGGAGTGAGGATCGAAGATTCGGCGTAGTGGTTGAGTGAGGCGAGGTGAGATCTGAAGGGAACGCTGGCGAGATTATACTGGATGTGGCATTAAACATGAGAGTGCGAGACGAGGAAACCATGCGAAATGACCTCTATTTTTCGATCTGAGGCTTTTGAACAGATCTAAGCCTGCTTGGCCCTAAGAGCATCTCCAACCTAATCCTCTCACCAAGAGGATGAAAATATTTTTTTTTATTCAAAAAGTAAATATAGAGTATATCACTATTCATTCAAACTCCAACCACAAACCTTCATTTTCTTCTCTAAATATTTCTCTCCAAAATTAACCATCAATTTTCCCTCCATCTATTTTCCTTACCATTTATTATTTTATAGAAAAACCAAACCCTCATACATCAAAGAAAATGACTGTAGAGCTTTCTAAAACAAAAATGGATGCCGAGTTTATTCATGAAGAAATGGATGCAGAGCATATTTATTTACCACAATTCCCTGATTATGAAGAAGAAATGGCAGCATGGGAAGAGGAAGGAAATATATTACTTTATTTATATGCCTCCAACAACATCATCATAGCTCAATATCTTGAAGAAAATGATCAATTGGTACGTAAAGGTTCAGTTCATTGACATATAGTGAGAGGTCGTTAAAGAGAAGAAGGTCATGCTCAATTATGGAATGACTACTTCTCAGAGAACCCCACCTATGAGGAAAGTTTATTTCGCAGGAGATTTCGAATGCGTAGAAGTTTATATTTACAGATTGTTGATTCCGTGAAAGCTCTCGACGATTTCTTTGTGCAGAAGAAGGATGGTCTTGGTAGACTTGGATTGTCTACTTTACAAAAAGTAACAAGTGCATTTCGAATGTTGGCATATGGAACGGCGACCGATTCTATGGATGAATATAAACGAATTGGTGAGTCTACTGCCATTCTATGTATTAAAAAGTTTTGTCAGGCAATTGTTGAGATATTTGGGGGAAAAAAATACCTTAGATCACCTAATTCCAATGACATTGCAAGTTTGTTAAAAAAAGGTGAAGAACGGGGCTTCCCAGGGATGCTTAGGAGCCTTGATTGTATGCATTGGTCTTGGAAAAATTGCCCAACAGCTTGGGCAGGAGAATACTCTAGACGTGGTGGATCCCCAACTATTATTCTTGAGGCAATGGCATCTCATGACCTATGGATTTGGTATGCATACTTTGGCTTACTGGGCTCCAACAATGACATTAATGTCTTGAGGTAGTGGCATCTAATTTGTTTATGAGATTCGCAAACAAATTTGATGATTCCAAGACCTTAATGTCGTTGTTGGAGCCCGGTAAACCAAAATATGCATGCCAAATCCGTAGGTCATGAGATGCCACTGCCTCAAGAATAATAGTTGGGGATCCACCACGTCCAGAGTATTGTCCCGCCCAAGTTGTTGGGCAATTTTTCCAAGACCAATGCATACAATCAAGGCTCCTAAGCATCCCTGGGAAGCCCCATTCTTCACCTTTTTTTAACAAACTTGCAATGTCATTGGAATTAGGTGATCTAAGGTATTTTTTTTCCAAATATCTTAACAATTGCCCGACAAAACTTTTTAATACATTGAATGGCAGTAGACTCACCAATTCGTATATATTCATCCATAGAATCGATCGTCGTTCCATATGCCAACATTCGAAATGCACTTGTTACTTTTTGTAAAGTAGACAATCCAAGTCTACCAAGACCATCCTTCTTCTGCACAAAGAAATCGTCGTGAGCTTTCACGGCATCAACAATCTGTAAATATAAACTTTTACACATTCGAAATCTCCTGCGAAATAAACTTTTCTCATAGGTGGGGTTCTTTGAAAAGTAGTCACTCCATAATTAAGCATGACCTTCTTCCCTTTTACGATCTCTCACTATATGTCCATGAACTGAACCTTTACGTACCAATTGATCATTTTCTTCAAGATATTGAGCTATGATGATGTTGTTGGAGGCATATAAATAAAGTAATATATTTTCTTCCTCTTCCCATGCTGCCATTTCTTCTTCATAATCAAGGAATGGTGGTAAATAAATATGCTCTGCATCCATTTCTTCATGAATATACTCGGCATCCATTTTTGTTTTAGAAAGCTCTACAGTCATTTTCTTTGATGTGTGAGGGTTTGGTTTTTCTATAAAATAATATATGGTAAGGAAAATAGATGGAGGGAAAATTAATGGAGGGAAAGTTGATGGTTAATTTTGGAGGGAAATATTTAGAGAAGAATATGAAGGTTTGTGATTGGAGTTTGAATGAATAACGATATACTCTATATTTACTTTTTGAATAAAAAAAATTTATTTTCTTCCTCTTGGTGAGAGGATTAGGTTGGAGATGCCCTAAGACCCTTATCTCCCAATTACTTAACAAATATAAGTCAACATTGTCTCATCTGAGCTTGTAAAAGTTTGAACTGCTTCTTGGGTGAAGATTTCAGCTAACATTTCTGACTACTTAATCAATGATTTCATCTTTTCTTTGGAAGGAATTAAAGCCACTAAGATCAGGCCCTGTGCTAGATGACTTGTCAGACGGTTTTTATTTTCCTTTATTTCATCTTGATTGTATCCCCCCTTGGTTGGGTCCTCTCCAACTCTGTTCTTTGGTTTGGGTCTACACATGATTGGGTTTAATTGGAGATACCAGCATAGTTGGGAGTACTTTGCTGGCTATGATGCAATTTACCAAGCCATCATTTTGTACAACATTTTAATCATCAATAAAGTTTCTTTATTGATCAAAGAAATAAATAATAAAAAAACATTGTCTCATCTGTTAAATTTTTTATCACATTATTAGTTAGTAACACCACATACAATTCACTAATCTAGTTGGATAACCAATCATTCATTGATACCATGATTTTTTTTTTTATCAGCAAAAGAAAACTTTGTTAATGATAATCAGATTACAAGGCAAGTGACATACATCAATAAAGGGGATTGATCAGTTTGCTTTGATGCTTTTTAATCCAATAAATTGTTGATCTCTTCACTATTAATTCTTCAAATCAAACAAAGCCGGTATGTTCTATGTGTTAGGAGTGGTAGATAATCCCATAAATTATCACATAAACAATGTCACAATAATATTTTGAAACTGTTAATTAATTATTAATTATCCAGTTTTATGATAATTGGACTCGACAACAACCAGGTTGAGATGGTTACTATTACATAATATAGTTTGCCAAATATATAAATAATGGTTAGTAACTTTTTAGTCTCTGAGGGCGTATTTGATTAATAGGATTAATAGTGAGAGAATTAATAATTTATGAGATTAGTATTAGTTATCCAGTTGAATTAGTGAGATATATAATTCTTTCTTATCTACGTTTATTTTGTAATTAATATGGAAATATATATAATCTCAATTATGTGTATGTTTCGCATTATTAGTTGTAGGCTTAAAAAAATTCATCAATTTTGTTACATATAATGACCATTGAAATATAATCCAAATAACGGAATGTGAGTCAGACGGACTAATAATCTCAATCTTATGTTATAATTTGGCCAATGAAGTAGGGGTGAGCATGGTCCAATTTAGATCAGTTTGGGATGAAACCAGGACCAATCTATTGTCTATAGTTCCATAAAAATTGGAATCAAACCAAACCAAACCGTTAAAATCATAGAACCAATCCGAACCAAACTATTTAAACATGTTTTGGTTCGGTTTGGAACCACGATTTCACATAATTTGTTTACAAGAAAAATCATATAACATTTTCAAAAAAATTCAACCTGTCATAAATTTTAAAAATAATAATAACATACCCATCAAACAAACTACTCATAAAATTCACTAATAAACAAAAACTTAACATTAAGTAAACATAGTTCAACATTAATCTGTCATTATTTTTCGAAACATAAACTTTCAAAACATAACATGTACATTATTCCACCATTAACTTAAACAAACATAATATCTGGCAATAAATATATATGGTTTAAGTTATGCAATCCGATTCGGTTCAAATCTAGAATCATGAACCTAAATCCGAAATCAATCTGCAGAAACCAATTCCCTAATTTTTCAAACTAGGGCTGAAGCACAAATTAAAAAAACTAAACCAATCTACCGAATTGGTCTAGCCTGATTTAGTTTGTGAGTTTTTTTGATTTCCTTGCTTAACCCTACAATCAAGAAAACCCTAAAGTCATTTTGGTTATCTATTTAAATTGTATGTATTTAGTTCTGAATGTATAAAAATTATTTTGGTTTGGTCCCTCAACTGAATTTCATTTGTAGACTAGATACCATTAAAGTTAGGGTAAATATATAAATTTAATTAAAATTGGCTCTTTTACTCCCTAAAGTAAGAAATTTGTGTCATTTTGTGCCCTAATATTTAAATTATATCTATTTAATTTCCAAAGTATAAAAAGTGTTTTAATTTAGTTAGCTAACCTAATTCTGTCTTTCTTTATTTGACTGAAGGGCAAAACATGAAAATGAAAATTGTAAATACACATCAACAAAAAGACAAGAAAAGGAGACCAAAAAAATCATTTTTGGGGGAAACATTCTAGTTGTCTAATATTTATATATGTCACTTATATATCAAATCATATAGGATAATGTACTGCAAATATATATATACTAGCAGTTGACACACGTAATGCGTGTGCAATTCAAAAAAAATAAAAAAATAAATAAATGTTTATTATATATTGTGTGTTAGTTAAGTGGTAAGAGTCTTATCCATTTGACATAAGTCTAAAGTTCAAGTCCCCTCCTCTCATCTATCTAATTTTTTTATTATTATTATTTCAAATAAAAAAGTGGACATATGGCAGCATAAGAAATCAAGGCTTCAGGACACCATAAGAAGTGTTCACTTTATATATGGTATAGATATATATTAGTGATCTGCACACAATGTGTGTAACTTGAAAAAAAATAACATTATTCTTTTTTTTTTTTATCAACAAAAGAAACCTTTATTGATGAAATAATCGTACAAGATACTAGTTGTATGAGCTTTCATTATTAAACCGAAGGTCATGGGGTGAGGCCTGCCCTTCTCTTTGCATACTTTTTACAAAAATGCCAAATATAAGGGTATTTTGAGAAAGAAAATTGTGAAACAAAAATGGTCAATACCACCAACAACCTTCACTTTATATATTAAAATAGATAGATATATATTACAATGAAAAATTATCGCCAAGAAAATTATTAATGAAAAAATTATTGACGAAGATCTCATTTATCATTGAAAATAAGCTTCGGTTGATAAATTATTTTTTCGTCATTACGAAAATTACATTTTATCATAATAATGTAAATATTCTTTCCCAGAGATGTTGGCTTTTACATTTTTTTATTTAATTTTTTGATGATGTGTATTTATGGTTTTCAAGCTTTACCCCTAGTTAAGACAGAAAGATAGACAAAATTAAGTTGGGAGATCAATTCAAAACACTTTTCAATATTGTAAGGGTAAATTATATGTAGTGCCCTTGCACTTTCACCAAAATTTCAATTTGGTACCTTTAGTTTTAATTGTAACAATCAACCCCCTATACTTTTGATCAAATTGCAATCTTACCCTTTTATTTACAACCTGCAATTCAAAAGTGCTAGCTTACTCTATCAATGATATTATATACAACTGCAACAATTAACTTCGTGTTGGGTGAATGAGCGACCAAAAATTGGAGCCTCATACCATGCTCTGGTTTTTGGTTTCTTTTGCTCTTCTATGTTTTCTTTTTCTGGTTTTGTTCTTGTTTTTGTTGGTTGGTTTCTCTCCAACTAGTGGGGTTGTGCCTTAACAAGTGATAGGGCTCGTTTTTCGGTGCTAACCTAGTTGGAATGGAATTGCTAGCTTTGATGCTTAGTGCTCTCTTCTCCCTTTGATCTTTGTATAGTGTACTCTAAATTTTATCAATAAAGTTCTTTTTAGCTGTTCAAAAAAGAAAAAAAAAATCTCACCCGCTTTATCCATTTATCGTTAATAAGCTAGCATAAATTAAAAGTTGAAGGATTAAAGTGAGATTTTGGTGAAAGTAAAGACTAAAGTGAGATTTTAGTAAAAGTATAAGAGTGTTAACGAGACAAAAAAAAAAAAAAAAAAAAAAAAAAAAAGAAAAGAAAAGAAAAGAATTTCACATGGGTTTCAAATGACAAGTTCTATAAACTTCGTTAATGACAAATAGATAGAAAGGTGATATTGCCACTTGATCAAAAATGTAGGGTTTGACTATTACCGGGGGCAACGCTAGCTTAGGATTGATGGGGTTCCATCCCCCGTCAACCTATCAAAAACTCTTAATAGAACAACTATTTAAATTATTAATATTTTATTTAATATGATTTAATCTTATTAAAATTAAGGGACCTCATTGTATAGTTTGATATCAATGAATGAATAATTTTTTAATTACATATATACAAGAAAATGCGTTTGACATTATTAACAATGAAGTTATTATGCAATAGTTCCAAAAAATAAAACCTCATCAAATGTAAGTGTAAAAGTTTATATTTTTTGTTGTTTAGACAAATAGTACAATATTTTTTGCAGTTTATTCTACTTAAATTTGAGAAATTTAGTCATAAAAAGTTTGAAAAGTTTAGGGTATCATTTGGGGTTTGGTTTTTTTAATAATTTTTTAATTTTTTGATTGTTTTATAAGTGAAAAGAGTCAAATGAATTTGATAAGAAAAATGCTTGGGAGCACTAATTAGTGCTCCCACTAATTAGGTGGCAGTGGGTCCCGTCATTAATGATGTGATGTTTTGGTCTTAGAGTTGTATTTTTTTTTTTTTTTACTTTTTTAATGCATTAGTGCTATTAGTGGTGATGTTTTTAGTGGGATGAATCATTGTTGATTTGATAATGCCTTTTTTTAGTTGAATGAAAAAACGTGTTGACTGGTACTTATGACTTGCTTTTGTAGCAGTTTTTTAACTTTTTTGTTTTTGTACTTTTTTTAAATAAAAAAATAAAAAAAAATTAGATTTTTTTAACCTAAAAGTCAATTTTCAAACAAGGCTTAAATGTTGTTTAGTTTAAAAGTTTTTTTTTTTTTTTCTAGTTTTTAGAATTTGTGGATCTTGAACATGCAAGGTGACCTTATCTCTACAAATTTTTGGAGACGCCACTTACTATTACAATTGAAAGTAAATAATTAAAGTGAGATTTTGATGAAAATGTAAGGATGCTAAATGTAATTTAACCATATTGTAAGGAGAGCACTTCATTGTGCCTTCTAAATTATCATTCAAAAATTAATTGAACTCATGTTCTTTTAAAATATCAATTTTATACTTAATCTATTTGATTTTGAATCAATTTCACCCCGCCGTTAGTTGTAGTCTATAATCAAATGGAAGTTGTTGACGTAAACTTCATTTTGCCCCTCAATGAAGTTTAATATGACTCATACAACAAATATGATCAGATTTACACTCAATTCTTTTCTTTTTCATTGTAGAATTCCGCAATATGAACAACTTAGAGAAGCTGGATTTGAGTTACAATTCAATAGAAGATATAAAAGGTATACAATAGTGATTTCGCAAAAGTTTTTAGAGGTTGTACTCTCATTTGCCAAGCTAAAAAAGATTTAAAGGCAATATACTTATAATATTATTTCACAGAACATGTTTTGTACAAAAATAATGTTTGTATATCATTATCCCAAATGAAGCTCTCCAAGTTTCTTAGTAAATAAACTAACTATTTTATTTTTTATTTTTTGTTTTTTAATAAACAAGATGGACTTCATAACAATTTTGCGTTTCCTTTTAGTTTGTGAGGATGGTGGTGACTTGAAATGGAAATTGATTTTTGCAGGTTTTGAAAGACTACATGTGTTAGGCAAGTTGGAGCTACTTGATTTGAGCTACAATTCATTCAATAATGGAATCATACCATCTCTTGGTGTTCTCTCATCACTCAAGACTTTAAACTTACGGGGCATCAATTTGAATGGATCAATTGATATAGGAGGTAATTCTAATAATAAAACACTTCACATGTTCACAACGAAACAATCTTTCTAGCATCAAAATGAGTCGGTAATCACATGAACAAGTGCACAATATCCATGTGTTCCACCACCTACTAGGATTGGTAGACAATCCCTTTGAAGCTTCCCTAGGTTGTTTATATATGTTCTTCATCGTTGTTTGTTATGACCAATGTTAGGAAAAATTATTAAATATTTTCGGAGATATTGTTTACGTGGTATTTTTGGCAAATAAACAATCACAATACACACTAAATGAGTAATTTTTTTATCTTTAACTGCCTAACAAAGATTAGTCAACATATTCCACTTGTAAAATTTTTTACTACATGATTGGTTTGAAACACTATATAAACAATGCTACATGTCTTGGACAAAATTGTGGGAAAAAAAAAATTATTAGATAGTGTCGGAGTACCATGTGACATTTTCTATGTGGTGCTCCTGACAATGTGAAATCCCAAAATACACTAGGTGAGTCATTCCTTATCTCCCAATTACTTAACAAATATAGGTCAACATTGTCTCATTTGTAAAATTTTTAGTTATATCATTAGTTA